AAACTGCCATAAATTTGTCTTAATTATGGAAAATTTTCTACATAAAAGTAAAATTCGTGATATTTTTTATATTGGGTGGAAAAAATTCACAAGATTGTAAAACTTTGAGAGTAAGCCATGCAATTTTATAATTTTATTGACTTTTATATTAATTATTTTAAAATTTATACTTAAAGTAATTTTTTAATTGATAATATAGAAATATCTATATTGATAGCATCTAAAAATTAAACTTAAAATGCTTAATTTATTTGCAATTCATTAAAAAATGTTAAACATTTTAAGTAGAACATGTAATTTATAAATCCATATTTTCTCCTTTATGAATATACAATCTATCCACAATTCTAAAATTATTCAATTTCATTAGTTCTTTTCTCCACTAGGTTCAGATATAAAGTTGCTGCAAGTGAATAAGTGATATATTTTTTTTCATGAATATATTGATTAGTGTCTCAAAATTAACAATTAAGGATTAATATATGTTTATGAAACATGAATTTGATTGATCAAACACTATTTTAACAAAGACAAAAATCAAATTTGGGAACATCATATCGATCTGCCATATCCCAAAATAGGTCTTACAACCATCGGTCAAAAAGTTTGATTAGTGAATAAGTGATTTTGAGTTTGAGTCCAAGATATATATAATTACATTAAATACTTAAAATGAGAATTTTATCGTTCATAATAATTATACTTAACTTAAGCATAATTGCTTCTCGTAAAAAAAATACCGATAGTATCTATAGAAATAATAATTAGATGATTAATAGATAAATGAATGTAATTGTCACTCTAATACAATCGTTAGCATCAACAATGAAATAAAAAGAAGAAAAAAAATGAAGGAGAATTTAAGTTTTAATAAATTAATAAATAAAAATAAAATAAAATTTTATTTTAATATTTTAAATTTTGACGAAATTTAGTTTTTTTTTCTCTCAAGTATAAAAAATAATTTCCTAGTTATTTGTTTTGGAAATAGACTAACTTAAAAAATCATACATTAGAAGAAAAAAATATTTTCAAGTTAGAAGAATTAAAAAATTACTTTTGAATTTAAGAGATAAAAATAAGTCTAAATTTGAGATACTAAAAATATCTAAACCAAAAAAATAAGAAGAAAAAAAATAAAGAAATATCAAATCTATTTGAAGAAGCAAAAGAAAAGTAGAAAGAAAGAGAAGAAATATAAATTTTTTAAATCTTTTTTTAAATATTGTTTATTTTTATTTTATGCTAAACTTTTTAAAAAACTAAAACAAAAAAAAGTGAATGAATAAAAAAAACAAAAAAGTGGGATTCCACACCAATTTGGGGATTTGTTTTTAGATCTTAAAGAACAAAAAAAATTCCTTTACTTTTATTCCTCTTCTCAATCAATCAGAATTTTTATTTTCATTTTTTTAAAAATAATCCTATTTCACTCCTTTTCATTTTCATCTTCTATATTTCCATTATGAGAAAGTAATACAGGGGATAAAGTAAAGTGGCCATCTCTTTATAATACAAAGTGTCCTTCAAGTGCCTTCAAATTGGTTTTTCTGTAAACAATTTATAACAGCAATCAATAATCATTAGAAGAAAAAAAATAATGTTATTATCATCCATAAATGCAGTACCTATGAGCCTGTTTTTCTTTGAATTGTACCCCATTTTGTAAGGCAATTGTCAATTGAAAGTTGTCCATTGTATCAAGGAAGATTAGAGTTTGTTGAAATTTTAGGGTGTACTGTCTTTTTCCTGCAGCCAAGACAACTGTACTACAAAGAGAAACTCCCTTCATAGTGGACAATACTTTGGTTAAAAAAATATCGTCTGTAAATGTGCTTTGTGCATAAGTTACTCGTAATAATGATACCAGTTGAAAGATTAAGCCAAATGAAATAGCAGCAACTTAACAGAAAATTAAATAAGACCTCTTTTGCATCACAATATGTTACAGATTTTTAACCTTGAGTTGAGGTCATCAACTTATCATTTAACATCCTAGAATTATTTTAAGAGTCTGTTTGATAGAATGAGGGAAGGCAGAGAAATAGAATGCATTGGAAATCTCCCTCGTTTAGTAAAGTGAAAATAGAGTGTAATGGAAGAAAAAAAATCTGCTAGTCTGTCTTTTTATTTCCTAGCTCTAACAGGTAAAATTTTCAACTAACAACATGTCAAAATAATCAATTATTTCTGTTTTGTCGCATTGCATATAATGAAAAAATAATTGATATTCATTAACCATCAATTGTTTTGAAAAAATATTAACTAATAATGTGTTAATGTAACAATCAATTTTCAATGTAAAATCGATCTATAGTTTCAGAAAATAATCGATTGTTAATTTTTTTTTTTTAAATCAAACACCCATATATTAAAGATATTTCTCTTTTCCATATTTCCGTATAAAATATTCCTCTACCTTGTGACAAACAAAACATAAACGTAAAAATATTGTTTGCTTTATGTTCCTACCGTAAGTCCGCTGTTATCGTTAGGGTCACCGCATTTGAGGCATTGTTCGCTTTGGCGTTCGTTGGGCCGCCACGGTTTTAGCCTCGACTCTTAAATGATGTGGGACTTTTAGGCATTACCGGAACAAGCCTCTCAGTCGATGCTAAGGGGCAAGAGTGGCATGGGCCCTCCTTCTAGCGCCAACTGTTCCTATCATAAGTTCGCTGTCATCGTTAAAGTTAACGCATCTGAGGTATTGTCCGATTTGGCGCTTGTTGGGCCGTCACGATTTTGTCCTTTAAAATACCTTGGTGGGTTAAGGAGGAGGGGTGTTTATAAACTACCCTTAGCCTCGACTCCTAAGTGATGTGGGACTTTTAGGCATACCGGAACAGTTTAGATTACTCAAAATCATACTACTTTCAATATTTTTTTCATTATAGTTTATTTTTATAAAAAGGACTTATTAAAATACTAATTATTGCACCACTAAATGCGACTTTAAATTGGTACATGTTTAGATCAACATTAAAGAATTAATTTTGGGTCCAAAATTAATTTTAAGTTGAAACAATTTAAGTAATTTTTATATTAAATATAATAAATTATATAAATTGAAAATCAATTTTAACCATAACTAAAATTTTAAATTCAATTATGTAATTGCTTCCACAAACACTTGCAGTGTATTTAAGACAACGTTGTCAAATATTGGTTATAACAACGTTATACCAGAATAAGGCGGTGGTTTGGAGCTCCATAAAATGATATTTTACGGCGTCCACCATGGTCATGACGCCATAAAACTTTATGATGATTATGACACTTTTTAAAAAAAAATACATTATTGTTGGGCTTTGACCCAACCCAAATACATAGTCAGTCCTTATTTTTTTTCTGTTCGACTCATTTCACAAAGTTGTAAAAGCTCCGTAGTTGAAGAGGTCATGTAAAGTTGTCGTCCTAGGTTCCTAAACCTCTCTTTAACTTCAACCACCAGTCACCACTCTTCGTTCACTTTGTGACGAACAACTTTAATTGCGATGGCCCCGCACTCCAAGGAACATCTCCAATGAATCCAATAATAGGTTATTTTTGTGTTTTTTTATCCTACTTCTTCCTTCATCTATTTTTCATCTACGTTTATTGATGCTGATTTTTTTATACTCTTTCTTTTCTACTTCTTCCTTCAACCATTCTTCATCTATGTTCATAAATTTATGTATTTTTTTACATTCTTTTTTTTTTTCTGCATTCTATATTTGAGTTCCTCATGTTCTTCATATCTTATTCTTTATTTCTTCTTCATCAATTGAGTCCAGTTTGAGTTTCTATTATGTTCTAAGTTCTAGCATTGAATTACTATTATGTTATTGTTCCTATTCTTATTTTAGGAAAATGTCTAATAACCCAAACCAAAGTTAAACATACTCAAACTCTATTATGTGTCTTGCACTCTTGTTGCCTTCCTATTCTTTTGTTGTGTTTTAATCAATGATTTTTATGAGACTTCAATGAATTATGGTATTATTATTTTAATGTTTAATTATTTAAGTTAATATTATGTTGTTTTTAATTTATTTTTTTGCTACTTATTTACTTTTTTACTTTTTTTTTTGTGCACACACATATATATATATATATAATAGATGGTTCAAACGACACCAGTGTAACTTTTACTAAGTGTTACACTGCTCAATAACTTTATATTAAATGTGAATTTTATAAATTCAATTTATGTGTGTCAAATTTTATTAAAATTGAACAACAATTTGAATGTAATCAAAATGTTCATATTTTAGTACAAGATGTATATTATTTTTTTTATTTTTATCTGCCATAGATCACCATTCCATTCGTGGTATGTCTATACAGGATTTTGAACTCACTATCACATGGATTGTAGTAAGACCCATGTGAATTTAATTTGACTTTTTATGGGTAGATTTGCTTGAAATTCTTCCAAAAAAAAATGTTTGGACAAAACTACCCCTAAGCTATTGTCTAAATAATTAATTATTTAAAGATAAAAATGTAATTTATGAATAATATATTTTTACATAAAAATCTAATTATATAAAATATAATTTTAAAATACCAATTTCTCTTTATTTCTCACTTAATTTCACTCTACCAAATAATTACAATTTTCACACTATTTCTTACATATTTTCTATTAAATTAATTCTCACTTATTCTCTTTCATTCCTTCAATTTTTTCTCCTCCCCCAAACAAAGCATTAAAAAAAAACTCAGACATCATATGACATGCACTGATGCACACACCACCTGACCTCCGCATTATTTTTTTCAAGTCACCTGACCTTATGAAATTGGTTGTCTCAATATTAATCTCTGTTCAGTGTCTGCAAATTCGATGGATTTGCTCATTGTCAAACGCTATCTAATCTTGCAACTTCAAACATAGTGATGAATAATTTCGAAAGATAAACAGGGTCGGAGGTAACTAACATTTGAGATCTTATAACTCCCCAAAATCCAATGAAATCTCACGGTCAAGTGATGCACCTCCAAGTTGAACACCGTAATTCAGACTTCAGTTAGTGTACATTAGTAATAAAGATTATCAAGTCTGCTAAAACCTACTTGATAATGAAAAGCAAAGGAAAAAAAGCAAAATTCAATATTTCCAATAACGTTTCATATTGAAGACATTGTATAAGAGTTTGCAGTCAGAAGTTTGTTGTATGCACAAAGCCTAAATAATTGTTTGTCACGTGCCATGGATTAAAAGCTAATACCAGAGTATAAAAGGTGACATGAAAGATCATCATCCTGCAATACTGCTAATTGGAGTCGTCTGAAACATCAAATCCAGGAGGTATAAAAACAACATCATCCCAGTTCGATGTAGAATTTTCCTGTAAAAGGGGAGCAACAAATACAAAGGGTTAATTGAATGTATGCCCTCATATTCCATTTTCTGCACAATCTGCAGTAACTTTGGCACTCACCTTCATTTCTTTTATTACATCCTCTAGACTGGCAACCTGAAAGATAAATCATGGGTAAGTCCTCTAAAACAACAGGTCATACAATGATGGAAGCCGTTGTAGGCTATACCTGGATATCCCCTTGTCTAATAGAGGGATTTAATTTATTCTGCTCACGGGCTGCGGATTGAAGTGTATTTTCTAAGTCCTCCTGTGAAAGATTCAAAAGGTGAGAAACAAAAAAAATCTCAGCTTCATTTACGACAACCAAATCTCAGGTAACTCGATTTAGGCAAATCTACAACACCTTTCTGAAGAAAAGTGGACGATATCTCTTATTCTGGCTCTTCAATATCAGACTTCTGGACTGAAATTCACCAATATAACAATTTAAAATACTAGTTAAGGGATTCAAGCATGAAAAAAAATCAAGGTAACATAGGATCAATAGAATGAAACGCAATCACAAAATATGATAACAAGGTTATAAGAATCAATACTCCAAATATACTTGTAGAACAGTAGAACAAATCCAGTTCATAGTGTCTATCAAACAATTTTCTTCATAACACTAACATAACTAAACCATTAAAAAAATGGCAAACAAGGAAGTATGAATACGTCGTGTTGGATAAGTATTTGTCTCAAATATTTCAAATACTCCTAGTTACGTTTTATAATATATTTTTTACCAACACATCTGGGAATGCCACAATAATTAGAAACATGATAGCCTTTTATTATGCATACAATGACTCATGCTAACTTAAACACCAATTCTCTCACCTGACACTTAAATTTTGTGTTTATGCCTCTAAATTTTTAACTCTGTTATATCTGAGAGTATCCATGTTGTATTGTATAAGTGCCTTGTATCATGTCTGATATTTCTAACATCTAAAATGAGTTTATCTCTAAAGTGAGCAAATATGAACATATCCATCCTTTATTTAATTAAAGTACCTCATGATATAAATAGAACTCAAGGTATAAATAGATGTGTACTTATTAGTCTTATCTTTGCATTAATTTGTGAATGGGTGGCTAATCTGAGGCTTGAAAGAGAGACTGGGAGTTCAGAAATGTGCAAGCAGTAATTCATGCACAGAAAACAAGAAAAATCTAACAGCATTCTTTCAGGGAAAGAATGAGTATTGCTTAGGGTAGTCAAAAGGCAAAGACAAACAGGATGTCAATTACTGATTTACATGAAAAGTTATATCACGAAACAGTAAGAGTAATTTTAGGAAAGATCATTTTTCCCACTTTCAGCTTTTTTTTTTTATAAAAAAAAGTGTTTGCAAAATAAATTGTATGTTTGAGACAACAACTTAAATTTGTAAATAACTTTTTTTCTGAAAAAAAAGTTGTTTATAAGAAGTTAGAAATTTGGAACTAAAGATTATTTCTCAACTGTTTTTTTTTCCTTTTTAAGCTGATTTATTCCATTAAAACTGATTTCTGTTGTATACAAACAAAAATTAAACATCTTAAAATCGTTTCAGCAAACTTACCCAAACAAAATTTCATTTCAATTATAATCAATTATAGCAATAATCAATTATTCACATAATTGATTATTGAAATAATTTAATTTTCGCAGTTCTCCCAAACACACTCTAACAATAAAGAAAGAAAACTTTGCTCATAAGCATTCTGCCAATGATTATCATCAACTCAAATCAACAGAAATCCCAGATTCACAATTCTTAGCTCTATTAAATCTCAGTGTGATTCTGTTATGGTCCAGTCCCTTGGATCGGGTTATAGGACCTAACAATAAAGTGTTGTGGTAAATCACCAGATCTTTCTTGTGGCCTATTTTATCATTGAAATTTGTGCTCATTAGAGAGAACCAAATGACCTCCAAGAGTCAAATGATTTTATTAGTTTATCATTCTACACATTATACTAGGAGAACTCCACACTTAACCACTCAGTGAGTCAGTGTCATTTGTTCAATGATGCTTCACAAGTGAAGACTGTCACCCAAACAGTTTTGAAAATTAAGGGCTTTTATTATTATAGTCATATACTTCTTATACATAGCATTGCTTTATTTTTCTTTAGTTCTGAAATTGTTTATTTTTATTTATGCATATATATGTTTATATGCATGTCCATGATTGTTCACCCAATTTTGCATAGTTTCTGCTTCTCATTATAAAAAGATGGTCAGCCAATAAACAGACTCAATGCATGTGGGGATAAGATTTGCATATATCTACCTCCCCCAGATCCTACAAGGTACAAACCTCACACACCAGGTCACCCTTCCTTCCCATAAAATTTATGTAGTATTAAATTGTGGCTAAACATTCCTTGAAATCCTCTATTGTCATATAGTTTGTAACAAAAAATTCAAAACGTCCAGACTTCAAAAGCTGAGAGAAGAACCTGGAAAACTGGAACACCAGAAAAGCCACTGGAAGCAAATCCAGATTTTTCCCTCTCCTGTAAAGCACAAGCATACATAATCATTACTGCGCAGCTCAATGACCAATTTCTAAAAAAAAATGTATCAAATTAGCATATTAGGCAAACATAATACAAAAATGACTAGTACACCAGAGCAGTCAAGATCTAATTCTGCGAATTGGTGATAACCAATCCAAAATCTCAGTAAATTCCTGTTAAGAAGCTTTCTATCCACAAAATAATTTCACCACCAAGAAAGACTTGTCACCGCAAATTGCACACATAGTATTAAAAAGGAAACCAACTCAAAAGAGAAGCTTCTTCTACCGTCCTCCATAAGACAGCATCCCAAGTAAAAATTAATCATAATTCCAAGAGTACCAATGGACCTATGCTAAACGAATAAACAATTTAATGAAAAGACAGAAGAGTGAAGAATAAGTGTGTGTTTGAATTGCCATTTGAAGCAAAAGAGTGGCCTTAGTTGAGCCTATTTATCTGTTAGAGGCGGAAAGCAAACAAGTATTAGGGTTTTTGTAGGGTTTAGGTGCGCGTTAGGTATAACAGTTTGAGTGCTCACTTTCAGGGCATTCTTGACTTGAGAAAACTCGGGTATCAAGCGAAACGCAACGCCGTTCACCTTGAGCTGAAAGACCTGGAGAAAAAATAAACGTGACAGACATAAATAAGGGAAATTACGAGAGTGAGAAAGGATGAACGAGTAGAGAGCGAGTACCTTGTTGAGAGCGACGGGGACAACTTTGGAGCCATGGCGCGCGTGTGGGTCAATGAGGGTAACCTGATTGAGGAGAGCCTCGGCGTCGTCCTTGTTGAAGCAGAAGAGGCCGAGGTTTTTGCCGGAGGAAGAGCCCGAGACCAACAGAAACTCCTCGGAGGCGTTGCTGAGGGCGTAGACGGGTATGCCCTCTAGACGCTCCTCGATTGCCTCCACCGTCATGGGCCTGCTCCTCCCGCCTTGGGCTATCCGGGCCCAGGGCGGGCTCCGGTTAAGGAAGGGAAATGGGCTGCGGATGGGCTGCTGACGGGTCAGGTTGCCCAGCAGCGTGGAGCAGTGCCCTTGAAAGTCCGCTAAAGCCTTGTGGAAGCCGTCCAAGTTCATGTTTATGTTTCTCTGTAGAGAAGGATTGTGGGTGCAGGAGAGAAGTAGTGTAGTGAATCTTCAAGCCTTTGTTTGCAAGGAAAGTATTTATATATATATATATATATATATATATATATATATACTACCACCGCATTTAAATTTTTTTCTTTTGTATATTCCACAGTTGACCCTCAAGATAAAAATGAGAATTAAAAGTGAAATTAATATTTTATCACTTCATATATCTCATAGGTTACTTTTAACTATGCTAAATCCTACTTTTTACACCAAAATAATATTTAATATACAACTTTTTTTAACTATATTATAGATATATCATCGATTAATCTCTGTCTTCATTTTATAATTTTAATTTTATCATTAAATATTTATTTATTAACTATTAAAATTATAATACTCACCATCATATTAAATTAAATATATAATATAATAATTAATATTAAGTTAAATTATAATCTCAATTCTCATTTTTTATCTAATAAAATATTATGAAAATGGGTTAAAATTTATGATTAAATATATAATTTAACTTAAATATTAATTATCATGGTATTTAATCATGTTAAACATTACAATCTTAACATATATTTAACATAATTAAAATTGTGAATTTTATAAAATTAAGTGATGAAAATTACATAATTTAAAATTTGGAATCTTAATTGCATATCAGATATTATAAGTGATTAAAACTACAATTTTGTCTTTTTAATATAAAAAAAGTTTAATTTTAGACTAAAATATATTTTTATCATTTATTTTATTTTTAAAGTATATTTAGTCATTTCCATTTAAAAGATTTAATTTAATTATTTATCTTTTAAATTTAAGTCAATTTAATAATATAAAACTATTGAATCAACTAATGAATGATCCAAATAAAAGTCGTGAACTTATGAAATTTGTATGAAAATAGGTTCAACGAGCAATCAACAATTTTTTTAAAATAAAATATCAATTTTTTTCTAGTTGTTTGTGATTTTTTTTCCACGTACTTTTCACTATGATTGTAACTATTATTTAGTTTATGTCTCATCCTTTATCCTCAAGCATATATTAATATAAATTTTGGTAGAAATAAAAAGAAATAACCAACAAACTCCACTTTTCTTATAGCAATAAATGTCAAATTATCATCTCAACTAATGTCCATACTTTAGTTAAAAGAAAACTCAACATAAAAAAAAAATTGACACTTGAAAATTCGTATAAATGTTTTTAAAATCAAATTACTTTATTGTAAAAAAAATATATGAAAATCTCAAAATAAGAAACAACAACTAAAACAACTAAAACTTATTATTTTGATGTCATATTCTATCGAAGTAAAATAAGTCTAAAAGTAATAAGCATGGAGGCCTAAGCTTTGTCTTAAGCATTAGTCTCCAAACTAATCCTCACTTATAAAAAAACATTCATTCAAAAGACAAAGCAAACTAACAAACAATTACAAAAGAGAATGAGATACATTTTACTCAAGTTGTTGGTGTGAAACAAATTTTGGATAGCTTACATGTATAAACATATTGATGATAACAAGATAAGTCAACAACATCCACATCCCAAGTTAAAAATTATCATTATCATGAAAATACTATGTGTGACAAAATTTATCACTCTTTATAACTCTCATGCTTAATGTATTTTATTCCCTGCTTAGTATAAAAATTTATTTTTATGTGGATGACTCAATGTTAAAAAGTTCACGAACAAGGTTAACTTAATCCTACTAAGGGGTTACTCTTTATAATTTATGCACTTAACGTGAAAAAGACTAACGTTTAATGCCAAAAGTACTAGATTCTTTATAAAACTTTTGTACTTAACAAGAACTTTGTCTCGCTTAGTGCTTAAGAAACAAAAATAATTTTTACACTTTAGAAATTATCGCACTTAATGTGGATATTACCAGATTTAGTGTGGACTCGCGAAAGCAACAAAGTTGTGTTCCGTTCAAGTCCTATAATTTTGGACAATTTTTTGTCTTTATTAATTAAAACTAGCTTTAAACCAAGTTAGGTGATTCATAACTTACATGCACACGAGTTTGAATACACAACAATTTAAGTAAAAAAAATGAATTTAATAATCTTTTCTTTATTTTTCATCTCCCTGTAATTTTAAATTAATGTTTTAATTCTTATTATTATCTAATTATTTTTAATTACTGATGTGTTTATTAGAAGTTAAAGTGGCAATTCAAGTAGTATTCACAACTATATGTGATATAATGTCAACATGAAAAATCTCTACAAAAAATTATAAAATCTTAAAATAAATATTATTTATTTATCTTAAAATAATTGTTAGATAAAAAATATTGACTTTGGATTTTAAAGCGATGAAATTAAAAAAAATGGAAACCAAAACAAAAATTTGTTTATTTTTGAGTTTATAGGTTAAGATGTCTTAATCCACCTCAATTTAAAAATCAAACAAAATAATTAAAACTGCCAAAAACATGTAAGCAACAACTAGAAAAAAAAAAGTTTATATTTGCTTCTTTTTAAAATAGAAAAATACACATGTGACAAACGTTAGAAATTAAGTGCCAACATATAGTTCAATCCAATCGTTCATTGAAAAGTATAATGAGTAAATGGGAACGGCTCAATCCAACCGACACCATCAATGCACAACGTAGTCTCATAGGAGATAGCACTAGCGATCAACCATTGATAAGAATTCTTTGAAGAAAAAAAAACAACACCCACATATGAAATAATTAAATAAACAATTAATTTTATTCTTAAATTATTACTCCCTCTCCTTGAAAATCTTTGAATAAATTAAATAAGTATTTTACAAGTATTGAAAATCTCACTAATTAACCATTAAAATTGACCTAATCATGGACTTGACTTGTCATAAATTTGAGATTATAAGTACTAATAATGAAAATAGTTTAGATCAAATTAAAGTCTACAATAAAATTACTAAACTGTTTTTTTTATTACTTTGCTTGACTTATTTAGAAATATGTTTTATCTGAAAATTATGTACATGATCTGTTTTATATAAAATTTATAAATAGATTAATAGAAATAAGCTTAATACATTACTATTAGTAATGATATATATTAATTATAAAATGAAAAAAAGTATAAAGTTGTGTAAAATTAGCGAATATCAAAATAGGGAAAAAATAAGTAGTTTATTAAACGCTAATTGAAATAAATTATAATTAAGCTACTAAAATAAGGTGTACTAAACAAGCTTGTTTTTATATAAAAAAAAATTATGAATCATTTCAATCATAAGTAAGCTACTAAAACAAGTTATACAAAACAAGTTTATTTTCGATAAAAAAAATTTTATTAACCACTAAACTATTAAACCTTTTTTTAATATGTAGGTATTGAATTCAATACTAAAGATTACAACAGTTTATGTATGTTATTTAAACAATTTATCCTATAAAATATTATAATTAACATGGTGATGTGACTTAGAGTAAATACGTAAATATATGAAGAGTTATGTTTTATTTTTATTGTGGTTGTTGTATTTTCTTTAAAAGTTAATCACTTATATATTGTTAATGTAAAATTATTTTACATTAACAATTAATTATATCTTTTAATTGTGTCATGTTATTATAAACACATTTACTTTTAACAGTAACATGACACAATTAAAAGATATAATTGGTTGTCGGTGTAAAAAATAATGTATAAATGATTAATTCATTTTTAATAACAAAAGTAGTTATTTATGTTATACAATGCTCCATACAAACTTAAATTAAATACGAGATTCCAAAAAAAAGAAATATTCATATAGTATCTCTCTTTGTTTCAAGTGTACCACTTTCTATGAATTATTTTTAAATTATTCATTATTAATAACAAAGACGGATCTTATTATTTGTACCAAAAAAGACACATAATTTCATCATGTTTAATAATAATAGCAATGCTTTACTTTTTAGGTTTCCAATGGCCATGTATCTTGTTAGCAAAAAACTTAAATTACGCGGTTGTCCCTAAGACGTCTACATGATTGCTTTTAGCATAACAATGTTATTAGAGATGAGAATATAAAAGAAAGGAGAGAGAAAAATTACTTGAAATACCTCTTAGACGAGCTGTATTGAATCTTCAAATAAATATGGAGATAGGTGCTTTATGACAACCTTTCACACTACACATAGGGATGGCAAAAATACTCGCACCTGCGGGTATTTACGGGTAAAATCCGCTACGGATAATAAATGAATAGGCTAATTGGGTACCTGCGGATAATGGAGACAGATAATTTTTTACCCGTTTATAAATGGGGCGGGGGCGGGTATGATGATATTCATACCCGCGCGGATACCCATTTAATAATATTTCTTAAATATCCTAATTATCCTTGTACCACATAACCTTAAAACTACACTTTCTCATCTTATTTTCTTACAAAAGTGAGGTTGATGAAGTTACCAACATGTGTTAAGCATGTTATAGAATTGTGTTGGATGTAATTTGATTAATTTTCTAGCTTTGATTGGACCAATAAGATTTATGTATTTTAAGTTGTTTACTTTCGTTTGGACTTATGAGATTGAGTTATTATAGCTTTGTGATGAGACTTTAACTTACTTGTGAGATTGATGTATTTTAAGTTATTGATTATCTTGCATTTTTATTATTATTTCAATAAAATTAACGTTAAATACAAGTTCAAAATTAACATTGAATTTTTATTTTTAATATTTCAATGATATTAAATATGAACATAAAATTATTTGTAATATAATTTTTTAATTTCTTAAAAAATTTATAAATATCCATGGGTATTCAAGAAATTCATGGATACTCGCTTAATGGATACCCGCGCAGATATGGGGTGGGTATGAGGCCAATTTTCATCTAGCGGGGCGGGGGTGGGTGGCGTACTTCTCCTGTTTGAAACGGGGTTTGAAACCAAACTTATCCTCAGGAGGATAGATGGGGCGATTCAGGTGAGATCCAATGTAGATCCAACTTTCTCTTCACTCGTGGGATCCGGGCGATCCGGGGGGGCCACCACGGCTCCTCTCTTCTCGAGAATTCATACATCCCTTATCAGTATATGGACAGTTATCTCTCGAGCACAGGTTTAGGTTCGGCCTCAATGGAAAAAGAAAAATGGAGCACCTAACAACGTATCTTCACAGACCAAGAACTACGAGATCGCCCCTTTCATTCTGGGGTGACGGCGGGATCGTACCATTCGAGCCTTTTTTTCATGCTTTTCCCGGGGGTCTGGAGAAAATTGCAATCAATAGGATTTTCCGAATCCTTCCTTCCCGAAAGGAAGAACGTGAAATTCTTTTTCCTTTCCACAGGGACCAGGAGATTGGATCTAGCCATAAGAAGAATAGAATGCTTGGCTGATAAATAACTAACTTCTTGGTCTTCGACCCCCTCAGTCACTACGAACGCCCCCGATCAGTGCAATGAGATGTGTTTATTTATCTATCTCTTGACTCAAAATGGGAGCAGGTTTGAAAAAGGATCTTAAAGTGTCTAGGGTTGTACCAGGAGGGTCTCTTAACGCCTTCATTTTTCTTCTCATCGGAGTTATTTCACAAAGACTTGCCGTGGTAAAGAAGAAGGGGTAACAAGCACGCACACTTGGAGAGCGCAGTACAACGGATAGTTGTATGCTGCGTTCGGGAAGGATGAATCGCTCCCGAAAAGGAATCTATTGATTCTCTCCCAATTGGTTGGACTATAGGTGCGATGATTTACTTCACGGGCGAGGTCTCTGGTTCAAGTCCAGGATGGCCCAGCTGCGCCAAGGAAAAGAATAGAAAACTGACTTGACTCCTTCATACATGCTCCACTTGGCTCGGGGGGGATATAGCTCATTTGTAATAATAATTTGTAGTATTAGTAGAAAAATTTGGGATGTTTAGGGTTTAGGGTTTAGAAATAAGCTTAATACATAACTATTAGTAATGATATATATTAATTATAAAATGAAAAAAAGTATAGAGTTGTGTAAAATTAGCGAATATCAAAATAGGGAAAAAAAAAGTAGTTTATTAAACACTGATTGAAATAAATTATAATTAAGCTACTAAAATAAGGTGTACTAAACAAGCTTGTTTTTATATAAAAAAAAATTATGAATCATTTCAATCATAAGTAAGCTACTAAAACAAGTTATACAAAACAAGTTTATTTTCGATAAAAAATTTTTTTATTAACCACTAAACTATTAAACCTTTTTTTAATATGTAGGTATTGAATTCAATACTAAAGATTACAACAGTTTATGTATGTTATTTAAACAATTTATCCTATAAAATATTATAATTAACATGGTGATGTGACTTAGAGTAAATACGTAAATATATGAAGAGTTATGTTTTATTTTTATTGTGGTTGTTGTATTTTCTTTAAAAGTTAATCACTTATATATTGTTAATGTAAAATTATTTTACATTAACAATTAATTATATCTTTTAATTGTGTCATGTTATTATAAACATATTTACTTTTAACAGTAACATGACATAATTAAAAAATATAATTGGTTGTCGGTGTAAAAAATAATGTATGGATGGTTAATTTATTTTTAATAACAAAAGTAGTGATTTATGTTATACAATGCTCCATACAAACTTAAATTAAATACGAGTTTCCAAAAAAAGAAATATTCATATAGTATCTCTCTTTGTTTCAAGTGTACCACTTTCTATGAATTATTTTTAAATTATTCATTATTAATAACAAAGACAGATCTTATTATTTGTACCAAAAAAGACACATAATTTCATCATGTTTAATAATAATAGTAATGCTTTACTTTTTAGGTTTCCAATGGCCATGTATCTTGTTAGCAAAAAGACAAAGGTCCATCCATCCATGACTTTATGATTCCATTAATCCTTTAACATTTGTTGTTATATGATATAATAGCTATTTATTATCTTCTAAGGCACGTTCCGACAGTAACCACCTTAACTAAAATTTCTTAGATGAGCCAGTGAGGCAAAGATGATTCTATCCACAAGATCCCCAACAACACACCACTTCCTGAGGGTCCTACTATTCCTTTGCACCAAATTATTGATTTATTTCCACCCTCACCGCACATTTTTTTTATAACTTAATTAGAATCTCTTTAACTTTACACAACTCTTGGTGCACCAATATATTACCTCCATAAACAAAATAAATAATTTATATTTTTTTTATATATAAATAGTTTGAGTAATATTAAATTTGATATCTTTAAATAATATCAAATTTAAATTTTGTGGATAAAAAAATATAATTAAGAAAAAATTTACTAAAAATATTCAATCATATTGGTTACCGATTTCACATTTTGGTAAATAATTTATATTTAAGATCAACATGTCTAAATATATTTATTTTTTAATGTGGTTTAAGATGTATTGAACTTACTTTCAGGGTTAATCTAATTCATTTTAAAAGTGAATAAAAAAAAATAATGAAAGTTTATTATATGATTTATCATTAACAAAAATTGACAGTTAAAAATATGCAGGATAATGATTTATGAACAGCGTATGAATCCATATGTATATTGTTGGTCCGATAACGGGACGTTTGAGTAGTTAACAACAGAAACGGACGAAACCAAACCCTGTCAGCGTACACCAAGAATCTTTTCTTAGAGATGCACCAAAGTCCCCGACATAATGCTACGAAGGTTAAAATTATTAATATATGAAAATATCATATTTATAATTTTATTTTTTATGGAAAAATTATTTTAAAAATAAATTTAATTTTTATAGAAATGAAAATAAAAATTAAGGCTTAGTCTTTTAAAAGACTAAAATAATTTATAGAAATCAAATTAAAAATACGATATGTTGAAAAGTCAATAACTTTTATAAGTCATATAAAAAATATATTTATTGAATGTTTTTTTTAATCAATTATAAATATTTTTGTAGGTTAAAATTATTGGAACACATTAAATTTTAAAGAATATTGGTTAAAATATAATGTTAAATCTTCAATAGTTTTAACAAATTGTTATAAAGTAAAATAAATAATTACATATTTTTATTACTTATGTTCTTTTTTTTTTTAATTTTATCATCCAACTTTTAAAATCGTGTATTTGTCATTAAATTTTTAAAATTTTAAACATTTTATCACTTTATTAATTAAATATCTTATATCATTAATTATTAACATAACATATTAATTATTACTATACACATATAATTCTAAAGTCTCATATAAATGATAACTTGATAAGGTTACAAGGTATATCATGTCAACAAATAATAATTAACGTGATCAACTAATAATATTTGACAATTTAATATTTTTTTTATTTGTTTTTTGCCTTTTAAAATGATCTTTTTACTGTTTCATTTCATTTAATATCAATTGTGTTCTCAAGTTGCATTGATTGATGATATATATATTTTATGAATAAACAGGTATTTTTTTATTATTTAGAAAACAATCCTCTTTAATTATGTTTGATAGTTTGGTAAAATAAAATAAAATAAAATGGTGAAATAATTTTTTAATCATATATTAGATTTTAATTATGTTAGGACAGAGAAAAATCTTCTTCTATTACTTAAAAGTGAACAAAATAATATAAATTTTAATAGATAGTAAATTAATCGTGTCCTGTGTGTTTAGATTAGAGGAATGAACTTCTAATTTTTTTAAAAGGAACAAAATAAGAAAATTGAATAAAGTAAAACATATTAAATACATATTTAAATAAAAATTAAGTTGAACTTAATATAGTTTTATTTCAAAGCAATAGTTTTATTATTTTTAAATTTTATGTATTAAAATGTAAAACACACATTTTAATATTTTAAAACATATAATCAAAGACAAGCTAATTTATACCGTGTTTCATTCAATTATATCTCAATTTAAACAATCCAAGTAACAACATTAATTTACTATTTTGGTCGATATAAACGTACCCTATAAGAGTCTCCCATGTTATCATTAATTAAAGCCTCCCATCACCTAATGGAGGATATATAGGAAGATTGTTGTTCAAAGAAATACAGAAATGAATGAAATACATCCAACCTAATTGAAGCGTAACTCATATGATCACAGATACAAACAAAAAATACTAATAGAAGTGGTTGCACCGTACTCGGGGGACATACTTTTGTCATAACAGGACGTAGGAAGTAGGAACCCTTTGGTTTTGGAAAGACCGTACGTATGACATCACAAACACCAACCCCATTGGCTGTCGTTCTACCCACCGTCACAGCCATGTGACCGTTCGCAGCGGTGTAAAGGTCGTCACGTGCACCGCATGTGGACAAACCATAACACAAAATGTATTGTACGTTAATGACAGTTTTACCCTCGAATACCCTTTCACACGTACAAGTGTTTGAAGCGAAGAATGGAGATGGAAACGGAAGTTGCGTGTGAGCATGAACAGTGACTTTGGTTGTCCACATGGGTGCGGGCCCTTTTGTTTTTTACGCTGTTGTTCCAAAGCACTGTACCACTCCACTTCCACTCTCGTTACCCTCTTCTTTCTTTGAAGTTTCTCTGTTTATCTTACTCCAATACCACACCAACCCTTCTTCTCTTCTGCTTCCACTCCACTAAAGTTTTGGTTTTTCTACCCTCTCCATTCTTCTTCCTCCTCTGGGTTTTCACTTGCTGGATTTTCTTACTCTCTTTCATTGACTTGACTTGGGAATGGATAACCAAGATCAAGGAAGAACTAACGCTGCAGGTGCTTTTTCTTTTGCATTTTCTCTTTAATGGGTCATTCAGTTCATCTCCCTTTTTCTTTTTCTTCTTCTCTCTCCTTTTTTCCTTTCCATATTCCATTATTATATTATTTCTCTTTCTGGGTTTAGTTAGTTTGGTGTTTTCTTACGAAAAGTCTTAGTCTTTCTGGTGGATTTTCTCGGGTGTCTGGTTTTGGAAACCGTGTCTGTGTCTGGGGGCTTTTTGAAGTTTTAAGTTTCTCGAGGTGAGATTTTTTATTTTTTTTAATAAATTTTTTGATGTTGAAGGGCACGAGAGTCACGGAGTTCATTTGTGTCACAAATGTGGATGGCCCTTCCCGAATCCGCATCCGAGTGCCAAACACAGGCGTGCTCACAAGAAGATCTGTGGAACCGTGGAAGGTTACAAACTTTCTCTCTCTGAGGGACAACCCCGTTTGAATGGCTCAGATGATGAACATGTTTCTGATGATGATCACAAATCACCAGGTGAGTTTCCTTCTTATATGTAGTATTTGAACGTTTATACTGATAAATACTACTAGGAAATGAAGTAAATCTAACTGATCTTGACATTGTGAGATTAATTTTAATTTCTTGTCTTATCTGTATATGGGCTTTGGAATTATTACTACATTCCAAAACAGAAGGTTTGCTAAATTGTTGCTATTTTATTAGGTGTGGTTGTGTCAGGTCCAAACTTGGAGACAGGCAACAATAAGAAGGGCAATGAAGGAAATGGAGAAAAAATAATTAGATCCGAAGATGAGGTGTTTTCAGACGCAGTTGCAGATTTTTCGGATAGTGGATCAAATGCAGAAGTTAAAGAACGTTTGCAAGATAGTTTGGAATCTGGTGCTGATGTTGAAAGGGTTGACATAAAAGAACTAAATTTTTCAGTGTCTTCCGAGGAGAAAGATTTCAATGGTGGGAAGATAGGTTTTATTGCATCACATTTCCTTTTATTTGGTTTTACTTTATTTACTGAGTATGGACTTGTGTGGGGTGAAATATTTGTGACCGATTAATTAAAAATATGAGAAGATATGTTTTTGCATGATTTTGCAGATATTAAGCTTGATGAATGCAAATAGAGCAGTTTATTGTCTTTATTTGTTTATGTTAATTGGATTGTCCTAGAAAGCAAAATTTTACATCAGGATCTGGATCTGTTCACACAATCAGCATCAATAGTGTCTCAAGATATTATATATTTTTGTGGAATATACAATTTCTTAGAGTCTATCAAAAAGGTTGATTTTGTAACTCTCCTTGCCTCCAAATTTTAATGAACACTGGATTTTTTATCCACCAATAATTGTAAGATGGGAATGGTATTTATGATACTATAATTTATATTCCTACTCCATAAGCATTTGACTGAAACATTATTGAGTTTACGATGATTTAAGATTGTGGATTGTTTGTTTCTGTATAGTTGCATTGAAATTATGAATTCATATTAGTAATGAATTAATAAACTGCTGATTTAAGTTGAATGTAAAATGTATATTTAATAATTATTTTCTTATGAATATATGAAGTAATTGAAGCAGTGAAGCCTTTCACCTTGGGGATAGCCTTTTAAGTTAACTACCTTTGTAAAATTATATTAAAAGGGGAAAAAAAAATCAGATCTGTTGTTTTGATTTTTATTGAACCGAGACAATTTCAGAGGAAAACACATGTGAGGGCCTCTGAATATCTGACCAAAATGTCTTTTCTATATAATTATTTTTTCAGACATCCTACTTTTTTTAAACAAGAAAATGAGAGTTTTTTGTATGTTAAAACTTTTAGAAGGATATTGATGCAAGTATCTAGGATAATACAAGTGTATTGATGCACACATAACTACACATTTATTTTCCAAAAATGATATCCTCCAGTATTGAATAGGCATTTTTGTCTTACAATATCTCTCTCTTACTGCGTCATTTGTTTCTTCTTTGTGGTCCTATCATGTCTGATAATTTGTTTCACAGCTGCAGATGTGAGTCAATTAATTGGCAAGTCAACTAATGACTGCCAGATTCAAAATCCAAATATTTTGCAAAATGAAAGCGTTGAAGTGGGAAAAGCAGTGGAGTTTCAAGGTCAACCGTCTGGCCCTACTGTAGATCCATCATCAAGTTCCATTGCTGACTTGAGAACTGAAGAATCAACTATTGCAGTTGCAGATAGTGATGTTTTTTTTGGTTTGTCAGGTGACTCACTTCCCAGTGATGCTGAAGCCATGCCTGATATAGTGCCAGAAAGGAATATCTGTGCTAGTGAAGATGTGACAAATTGCAATTTGATATCTGTTGCAAAGGAGAATAATTTGAAAGAAAAGGATGAGAGTAATTCCACCAGAGTTGTGGTTGAAATTGTGGAATTTCCTGATTCTGATAAAGTTAGTGGTGAAACAGGTGAAGGAGTGTCTAAAATAGCAGTTAGTGATGTAAGTTCCTTGGATCATCAAGTGGGTAATGGATCTGTTCATCTGAAGGAAAAGAATGGTGCTGAGATTAGTTCCAACAGAGGCCTGACTGAAATTGTGGAATCATCTGATAAAGTTGTAGGTGAAACAAGTGAAGAAGTGTCTAAAATAACAGTTAGTGACGTAGTTTCCTTAGATAATCAAGTGGATGATGGAGCTTTTAATCTGAAGGAAAAGAATGATGCTGAGTTCCTTTCTTTGTTGCCCCCCAATAACCTTCCTCTCGAGTTAAACTCGGTTGTAATCGTGAATGATGCTCAGGGAGAGTCTGCATATGTGGTACAGACTGCCACATCCATTGATGACAAGATTTTGCAGGAAAAGGGAGAAGGAAATGTTAATGTTGATCCACTTCCTACTAGCAATGATAGACCTGATGAAGCACATCCTCAGAGTGACTATGGAAACTTTAAAGATCATGAGGGAGTGGTTTACTCAAATCCTTTCCTACACTCATCTGAGTCATTAGCATATAAGGGAGATGACTTAAAGGACACTGTTACTGAGGAAAATAAATTTTATTTTAACACAAGCCAATTGAGTGAAGAAAGTGACATCTCTCCAGATATCGATGTTATGGTTAGAAGCACGAAGGTGGATCTGGTCAACAGTGAACCTATGCCTGAAGGAGTGCATGCCAAAGAATGCACTGAAGTTTCTCCAGTTAATTTCACAGTTGAAAGTCATCAAAGATTGGATGAAATTGATGCCTCAATGAATTCTATGAAAACTGGGATGAATGAGAATCATATGGTTCAATTTTCTGAAGAGCATGGACCTGATGATTCTTGTGAAAATTCCCAACAGGTAAGTTTCCCAGAAGGTAGTTTAATGGCCTCATCTAAGGAGAGTCAGATAGATGAATCATTTCGGTCTGCAACCAGTGAAACAAATAGTGTAATTAACATAGAAAGCACAAATAATCACGAGGAAAGTACTGAAATAAATGATGTAGCATTAGATGGCAAGGTTGTTGGAGCTGACATAGAAAATGATATTGAAATTATATTGAAAGATCTTCAACCTGGTGACATCTTGCAATCAGAAGTAAAACAATCAGATGACTTATTTAAGAGTGATGCTGCTGGTGAAATGGGTGAAAATGAACAATGTGATGTGCCTGATGCTCAATGTAAGGAATGGCCAATTATAGGTGATACTTCATTGCCTAAATCTGCTACCAGTCATTTTGATATCCCAGTTATTTCAGAAGCTTCAGACATTGTAGTTGATGGACCTGCGAACAAGTCAAATGGCACAGAGTGCAGAAAAATAGATCCACTATCAGGTGCCCAGAAAGACATAAAAGAAGATGAAATCAATATTAATATCAAACAAAATGAAGAATACAACAAATCAGTTGATACTTCTGCTCATTCACACCAAGCCCAGAGTGCTGAACTATTAGTGAAGGCTGCAGAAGACCTTGCTAGGATGTATACATTTCCTTTAACTACTGAGCCTTCTGCTCAACATGATTCTGCTGTTGAAGATAATTCTGGTGGAGTGCCTGGCAGGAAAGTGTCTGGAATTACCGCTGTGCCTGTTCAAGATCAAACTGGTAATAACTCGGGTAAACTTGGTTCATCTAGAGTTGATGCTTCAGTTGACTCTGGTAGCCGATGTGAGAGTTTGGAAGGCAACTGGGGCTCTGTTTCAGGTATATATATGCATTCGCTTTTTGTAATAGAAAACATTTGTACTGTGTAGTTACATTTTATATTGGGGCCATAGCAATATGCTAGCCTAGTCAATTTATCAGGACATGTATGGTGGTTCATACTATTGGGTGAATTGGTTGAGTGTTACAGTAAATATTGTAGCATAGTTGATCTTTATGCATACACTTTTACACATTAAAGACACACATACATGTTGGCTATTATAACTGTGCAATTGTGCATCTCTGAATCTTTTCTGGTAAAAGATTTCCTAATGAATTTTGCTAGTAAGATTTCTGCATGGTTACAAAGATATACATGGCTAGATCTTGTCTCTTACATGTTTTTCACCAATTATATTTTCCTATTAGTTTGGTGTGATCCATATAGTCCCCCCTCCCTTCATTGTTTCTAAGAGTGTTTCTCCTTGTGAGAGAAGGTGGAGGGGAAAAATTAAAAGGATCCATTTCTTATGTTTTGTCCTTACTGCTTTGCATTATTTTTTGAAGCAAAATTAAAATCAGTTTTACTTTTTTCTTTCATGATCCATTAAACAGTTCTCTCAATGCAATCTGATGCACCTGCTGTTATTGATTCTGAAACCTTACCATCAACTGGTTTGCCAGCATCCACAGAAGCAGGAAAATCAAACTCAAACAATCCAAAAGCTGCACTTGCCAGACAGCAGTCTGGAAAGTCAGAAATGTTTGAACCGCCATCTTTTATGACATTGGTCGAACCTAGGCAGGTTAGCCCAAAATCTGCCTCTTTTGAAGGCCAGAAGGGGCAGAGCCCACAACAGCCAGATCCCACTTCACAGGCTGGTTGGTTTCCCTCTCTAACTCAGGTTGTTAATGAATCTCAAGGGAGAAAGAAGAATGAAGAAATAATAGCCAAGGTAACAAACTGGAGCACCCCTAAGGAGCACACACCTCTGAAGAGTCTCTTGGGTGAGGCTGCCCATGGCAACACGCCAAAATCTCCAAAAATGGAAGAAAATTTGGTGAGCCAGAAGAGTAGTAAAGTTGCAGAAAAGAATGGTTCAGGTTTGACAACTGTTAACTCCATTCTGGGTCCTGAATCCCCTGCAGCTCAAGTGGTAAAAGGAGAGGCTGCAAAAGAATGGAACTCTCCAGCAAGATATCCTGCAGACATCAAGAGAGAAAAAAGGAAAGTCAAGAGCAGACCATACTGGATACAGTTGGTATGCTGCACATCAGTTGGTCCTCAGAGAAGGTAGAAAATTGCTAGGTGCTGCTGATAATGCTCCCACTTTCACTCTGATGGATTCTGGTTATTATTGAGATGCTATTTGCAGTATTTTCTGTATTTAGTTTATCTCTAGGTTTATATTTTTATTTTGATCATGTGTCTTCTGTTCATCTTGCTGGTCCCCTAGGAGTTTGGTTGTATATGTTGACCAATGATCATCTTCAGTTATTATTTTACCCCTGCAAGCTTACGTTCTTACTGTACTTTTTATGTAACGTGTTATTATTTTGGCCTGGACCCCTATTTTAGCTCTTGAAAGTTTTTGTCCAAAGGGCATGTATTCAGGTCAGGAATATTGTCATTGTCTGAGAATAACTTGCAGTTTCTACCTGTACATTGGATTCTGGTTGAATCCTTTGGTAGCAGAAGCCCCTTAAGAGAGAAATGGGATTGAGGGATTCTGCTTTACAGAGTAGGCTCAATCATGCAGGTGTGCATGAAGAAAGAAATTTACTTTCAGAAATAACTGTTTATGGAGAATAAATTGACTCGTATAACATTCACGTAACCATAAGCATGTACGTCAATAAGTGTAGTATTTGTTTTATTTCAAGCTTATTAGTGGTCTCATTTTCTAGAATGTAGTTATGTTGAAATTCAGTACGGAGAGATTCTTGTCGCTTTTGTGGGATTACCTGTGAGTAGTATTTATTAAGAGAAGTCTGACTTAAGGAAGCCATTAGGTAGAAATATTGTTTTAAGTTTTTAGTCTTTGTCAAGGGAAGTTTGTGGTGGGCCTTGTAACAGTAAGAGAAGAGATAAGAAGTACTGGAGTAGAAAAGGAGCAAAGTGCATTGCAAGAAATCGAACATGCGCACACTCAGTTTATGGTAATTATTCTACTTTTTCGGATAGTATATACTATGCTAATGACACAAAAAATTAAGGTTCTGTGCATGTTATATAACATGTTTCAGTACTTTATTTATTATTGTCGAGTAGTTTAGTGACAAGAATATTAATTATGAAATTTCTATCGAATTTCTTTAGCTTTTTTTTTAAAGGAAGATGAATGAACCGAAAAAAGAGAAAAAAGAATTACATCCTTAGAAAGTGAGCCCCTATGTATTGTCCGTTACACCAACATCACCATATAACTCTCTTAGCCAATTCCTAACTGAATCCCGAAGCAACCCATCAAAACTAGCAGCTCCAGATTGCCCCAGGTTATTACCATTTACATGCAACATCAATAACAAGATTTGAATTTAAAATCTTATAAATTATCTAAATCTCTCACTATTAAGTTAACTTTAGGGATTTTTTCTAATTCTCTTCCACCATTCTTTACTCCTTTCACTCCTCAATGATCATAGTTTTTTTCATTCAAAAAATATCTTAAAATGAATGATATTCTCATTTTTTAATGTAGTATTAATTATTATCTCCTATGTTAATTATAAACAACAAATTAATTTTTTTTTGTCCTAATTATAAGCAACAATTATTAGTTTTAAAAGTTGAATAGGCTTAAAAAAATATACACTTCATTTATTGTTAATTCTATTTTCAATGTATTCGCTTATAAGTAACATTAAATATAATACTCATCTAAAATAAACGTTATGTTTGGAACAAAACTTGTGTTTTATGGTATAATTAATTAAAAGTAACCATATTAATCTTATTTTATCTTGATGATTTGTCCCATGTCGCTTATAATTAAGAGCATAAATAGTACTTTTTTCCTTCTAATTTATTTCTTTATAAATTACTATTTAACTACCACAATTGAGTAATGCATTTATTGAAAGATTAGACTATTTTAGTAATATTATATAAAAAAGTGATACATCTATTGTTATATTTAATATCTATGTAGAAACCTTAAATTGTAATCATTGTGAAATTGAAAAGTACTACCTCTAGTCCTAATTATAGAAAAAAAATAAATTTTTCTTTGGTCCTAAATATAAGTAACAATCATTAGTTTTTAAAGTTACTTACGATAATTTTTTTATACCCTTAATTAATTGTTAACTCTATTTTCTATACATTTACATGTAAACAACATTAAATATAACAATCACTTAAAACAATGGTCATCTTGAAATAAAATTGAAATTTATAGCAAAATGAATTAAAAACAATTAACTTAATTATTTTTTCTTGGTCTTGATATTCACCTTATGTTGCTTATAATTATGACATATATTTTTCTAGTTGAAATTGATGAGTCCCATTAATTTCATAATAACACCTACTCTCTTTGTATTTATGTGCTATATATAAGTAAAAATAATTAATTTTACACAAATTATGAAAGACGGTAAAATACATTTATTTTTCATAATTTTATATAAAATATATATTATATTTACTAAAATATCATTAATCACATTTAGTGTAAATAATGATCTCATTTATTATCTTAGGGATATTTTTGGATTAAGAGCATTAAATAAAGTTGATTTAGTTGAAATTTGTGTGAGTCCAAAAAATTTAAGTACTTTTTACTTATATATAGATCCAGATTAAGTATTAAATAACAAAGGGAAAAGAGCATACAAACACCCTGAAACTTTTATCTTTTTGTAAATAGATGTCTTTAACTATTATTTTGTCCCAATTAATACTTAAACTTTTATAGTTATTTAAATAATTAACAAAATCAATGATTTTAAAATAGGAAAAAAATTTCTTTTACATACAACAATATATTATATTTAATTTATACGGGATAGGTCATTCAACCACCAACGATCAATGATGCTCACTTAATAATCTTGGATACTGAGGCACCCTAATGAGTTTACCCCCTTTCTTTTGGTTGCATGATTGAATCACGGGCATCCATTTTAGCACCTTCACCTACTGATGGCTTAGGGAGCCTTTGTGAGCTTACGTACTTCCCCTTTGACTGCACGACCAAACTACGTGCATCCTCTCGACAGTCTTGACTATCAATGACTATGTGTTAACAAACTGCCTTAACTTCATATTTGAAGATATTTTGTTTGATACCCTAAGCCCTTCAACACCATTATTTGTCAATGATTTTGTGTCGATGAAGGGAGTCTTAAATAAGTACTTTGGAGCACCTGTTCAGCACTGAGTGTCCCTTTGGCACCCTCGACCACCAATTACTCTTAAAATAGTACTTTGGAGTACCTATTTGGCACTGACTACCCCTTCGACACCCTTGACCACCTATGACTCTATGTTGTTAAATGGGTTGGACAATTTCCCACCTTGGATAAAAGTAATTTAGGTAATTAAAGCTTAACTACAGTACATAATAGGATTGCCAACGCATTACCTAGTTGGTAATCTCAGGTTGATGTCCATTTAAATCTGGACCCATCATGATTAGTATAAGTAGTATCATATATCAAGGTAAGGTAAAGTTACTAATCACAAAATTTTTGTATTTATTACACAAAGTGAGTTACTTATTTTGAGCATCATAATACCTTTAGCAAATACCTCTCACTCGACTTAGTAAAACAATTGGCTCAGAGAGTGAAGAGAAGTGAAGTCATCAAAGATAGAGAGAATATAATATCTTGATATAAGTATATAATTATAATACAAAGATACAATCCAAATCTCACTCTTAAACTAACTAAGAAGATTTTGAAAATCGCATCAAACCTCGTCTTTAAACTTTCAACAATGTCGTTTATATTAAAAAAGAACTCATAATCAAGTCTGTAAAGAGTGAACTGAGATAACTCATAATTCAATGGATCTTTTAGTTTTTTTTTCTTTCCAATTTACTTAATTACTAACTTTTATTGATCTTATAAAAAAATTAAACTTTTATTCTTAAACTACTTTTAATAATATTTCTTAAAAATAATACTCTCATTTAACTTATGAATTTTTTTTGAAATGATAATATTAAATATAGTTAAATTAGTTAAAACTTATTTATATTTAAATAAAAAAATTTACTTATAAATGCAAGCAAAGGCATTATATTAAAAAAAAAAAAATAGTGTTACAAACATTTTTCTGAATGTTCATACGTTGGAAGAGGTGCATTAATAATCATGAGTGTTTTAAGAATTGATAATCTTTATCAGTTTAAGAATATTTACCAAGTGAGCTAGGCCCAGCCCAGCCCAGCCGCGTGCGAGTGCGACTCAGTCAAAGTCAAGAAACCCACTGGCACTGAGGTGAGTGAGTCTCCTCAAAAATGGAGGCGTACGTACTACGTACCGAATACGTCTACGTCTACGTCTAGGTACGTATATCATGTACCCACCGGCACCATAAATTAAAAAAAAAAAAAAACAGAGACCCAAAATGTACTACTTCCGTTTTATTTGTTCATATTTATTTTGCCAGAATTTGTTATTTTTTTTTATTGTCATTTTACTAAAACTAATGATTTATTAATTTTTTTTAATTTTTAATTTTTATAATTAATACATGTTTATTGAATAATGTGTGTATTTATTTTTAATATCTATTTATTTTTTTTCCAACTACCCATATAAAGTTAATGTGCATTTATAAGAACAATATATTCCTAACAAAATACTATAAAAAAAATAATATAACCATTAATTCATGGACATGTATAATTAAATACAGTAGGTTATAGTTTACGTGTAATGAATGCATTAATAATTAATAGAGTAGATTACAGTTCAACAATCTCAAAAATATAAAAAAAATAAAGGATAAAATAAGAAAGTAAATAATAAATATTTTTAAAAACTAAAATATTAATTATTTTCTTAAGTCCCGTGCAAAACCTTAAACTATTATGAAAAAAAAAAAACTGAGGGAGAAGCTCTTTTAGCATTTGGGTTTCTAGGGTTCCAACTTAAGAAATTTCCACCCTTTTGACTTATAGTTTGAACAAAACACTGGTCCCCTCTGTTGAAGTTTCGAATGGAATTTTTATTGCATATAGTTATGCTGCCAAGTCCGGCCCAAAGTCGGTAAAACACTTACTTTACGTTTTTCTAAAATAAATATTTTGTTAATAATTATATTTTTTTTTTCTCAAAATTTTATAATTTAAAATTACTTTTTTATTCTTATAAACTCACTCTAAAAATCTTATTTATCAAAGATATATAAATATAATTATTTTTTTCAACACCTGTCTCTAAAATATTTTATTTTATTTTTATAAAAATAATATTATTAATTTTTTAAAAAATTACTTTAAATTTTATTTTAGTTCCGATGTCAGTCTTGGTTGATCAATCAAGGATTTTAATGTATAGCATGGAAGATTGTGTACTTCTTTGATAGAGTTTTGAAGCTCTTAGTATCAAAAAATA